ATTCCAACTCTCAAACGTTGACGCTGTCGTCGACTTTCAGGAACTAATTCAAATTTTCAATATCTCTTTTAGTTTTTCTACAAAGTCAGTTTAAAATACATGAAGTTTTCAGCCCTTCTCAGACTTTATAATGGGTGTGTATTGCGTGAGCTAGAGTGGGTGATGTCATCACTAGAGTGGAGAGCAGCTGTAAACTCATCAAGAAATTTTCTCTTCAACTCGCTCAAACGGCCACAATTTTCACTGTACATACACAATTTATACCTCAAAACGTAGGAAAATTTGTCCTGGTCACAGAAATGTTAACATGGAATCTGTGACACGTACACATTTTTGCTGAGCGGCTCCAAAGCGAAGGGAGCGCCGATTTTTTTCTCATTCACTCCCATGTAATCTGAGAGGAGAAATTTCTGGAAACAGCTGAGGTGCAACACATTTGTAACTCGCTCTGGTGACCCCATTTTGGACTCGAGAAATATAAAACATGACACGTACGTTCACGAGAAGTGGCTGTGTCTCACCATCACTTTATTAAGAATTTGTTCGAGGAGTTAAATCTCCTCTAAAAGAGCTCTCTTCTCTGTGTTCTGTCTGTCTCTCTCTTTTCTTCTGCCAGGTGCACCTAGTTTATTACCATGGCAACCACTGTGCCACACAAACTCACAGAAACATGATGTGTGTGTGTGTCTACATCTTACATGCAGACATGACAGGGGCACAATCTCCATTTTAACCCTTTAGGTGCCAGAGTTATTTGAGGAAAATATTCATTTCAACATTTCAAAAGGCTTTCGCATGAAAGTGGTGAGAGATAAAGGCATACTGTAAATGAGAAAACTATTCATCATGACCCAAAGTTTGTGATGGGAGTAAATTAACTCATCTAATTTGCATATCGTGGCGTCACTAGGCGGTGGCCATATTGGATTTCATAAATCTCAGTAAAACAGCATTTTGAACATGTTTACACAGTACATTTCTTTTGTTTTGTGCTGTTTTTGTCGTCTCATCCTCAAAATAAAGGAAGAGGAATCTGATGGGAGTAAATTAACTCATCTAATTTGCATATTGTGGAATCACTAGGGGGCGGCAATATTGGATTTCATAAATCTCAGTAAAACATTCAAATATTCTAATCATTCAAACTTTATTTTATTAAAGGCAGCTATTCAGTGTGGCGTCAGCTTTTCAACAAACTTTCAAACATTCAGATCATTCAAACTTCATTGTATTCAAGACAGCATTGCAGCGTGGCTTCAGCTCGCAGCATTCACACCCGCAATTTCTTCAGAAATTGCTTCTCTAGTTATTATTGTTCTTTCTCCCACCGCCTATTTGAGCTGGAATTTGACCCCCTAAACATGCTCAAAAACTCACCAAAATTGGCACGCACATCAGAACCGGTGAAAAATTTTAGAAAATCATGACATTAACCCCTAAAATGCCAAAATGGGCTCTCTAGCGCCACCTAGGCACACAAAAATGGCCGCCACGGCCTGTAGGAATGTCGTAGAAACATGAAACCAAAAGTGGCTAATCGTCTCATGAAGACCTAAAAATCACGCGCTGACACCCCTGACCTAAATCCAACAGGAAGTGAGCTATTTGCCCTTTCAAAGTAAGATTTTGCCTTAAAACTGCCTTTCCTAAAAAATCTTCTTCTCATACACCGCTTATCCAATCGGCTTCAAACTTGCACAGATGACAGATCAACTCGTTCTAATCAAAAGTTATTCGTAACTTTTTCATTACTCGCTTAGTTTGGATTTTATGGGCTCCATAAGGTGAGATGTCAGAAAAACGTCCTGGCGATCTTCGAAAGCTGTCCCATAGGAAATGAATGGCAGCAGGGGGGAGAAAGACACCAATCTTAGGGCTTTTTCTAGCATTTACAGCGTCTCCATACTTTGTGCTACAGACTCCATTCCAACTCTCAAATGTTGCCACAGGTCTCATCTATTCACTCATGTTTTCATCTTTTTCATATCTTTTACCGTTTTTCATCTGTGCCTCTCAAAGTACCATGAGCAAAAGTGGAGAAATTCTCAGTTTACAATGGGTGTGTATTGCACGGAATGCTGTGAGCTAGAGTGGAGAGGGCTCTAAAAATCGTCTAAAACTTTTGTCTTTAACTCGCTGCCATGGCCACAATTTTCACTGTACAGACACAATTTATACCACAAAACGTAGGAAAATTTGTCCAGCTCACAGATATGTTGACATGGAATCTCTCACACGTACACATTTTTGCTGAGTGGCTCCAAAGCGAAGGGAGCGCTGATTTTTTTCTCATTCACTCCCATGTAAACTCAGAGGAGAAATTTCTGGAAACAGCTGGGGTGCAACACATTTTAAACTCGCTCCCCTGACCACATTTTTGACTCGAGAAATATAAAACGCGACACGTGCGTTCACGAGACGTGGCTGTCTCTCAAAATCACTTTATTTTCTTGCTTGGACCAACGGTTTGGGTATGCGAAGCATTTGTTCGAGGAGTTAAATCCCTTTATAAACAGCCTTTGGTGATCTGCTCTCCTGACGTGTCTGTGTCTGCCACAGGTGCGGGCAAGTCATTAATCGCCATGACAACGGCTGCACACACAGACACAGCCACAGGGTTCTCTGGTCTGTGTGTCTCACAATCTTTAAAGGACAGATTACAGCAGCAGAAACTTCATTTGAAACAGAACACACACATTATTAACCCCTACAGTGCCAAAATGGGCTCTCTAGCGCCACATAGGTGCACTAAACTGGCCACTGCAGCCCGTAGGAATGTCGTATCAAGATCAAACCAAAACTGGAGTGTTCGACCTACAAATAACACGCTAACACCCATGACCTAAATCCAACAGGAAGTGAGCTATTTGCCCTTTCAAAGTAAGATTTCCCCTCAAACGTGCTCTTAAAAAAAAACACATCTCCTCCTACACCGTTTATTGTGTCGGCTTTAAAGACGCACACATACCAGTTCAACTGCTGCTAAACAGATCTTCTGTATAACTTTATCTCTCTCATGATCACATTATTTTGATGATTGGACCAGCGGTTTGGGAATGGGAAGAACTTCTTCGAGGAGTTAAATCTCCACTAAAACAGGTCTCTCTGTGTTCTGTCACTCTCTCTCTCTGCTCTTCTGCCAGGTGCACTTACTTCATCACCATGGCAACCGCTGTCACACACAAACTCACAGAAACATGATGTGTGTGTGTGTCTAAATCTTACATGCAGACATGACAGGGGCAGCATCTCCATTTTAACCCTTTAGGTGCCAGAGTTTATTGAGGAAAATATTCCATTTTCATTTCAACATTTCAAAAGGCTGTGGCTTGAAAGTGGTGAGAGATAAAGGCATACTGTAAATGAGAAAAATATTCATCATGACCCAAAGTTTGTCACTGGAGTAAATTCACTCATCTAATTTGCATATTGTGGTGTCATTAGGCGGCGGCCATATTGGATTTCATAAAGCTCAGTTAAACAACATTTTGAACATATTTACACAGTAGATTTCTTTTGTTTTGTGCTGTTTTTGTCATCTCATCCTCAAAATAAAGGAAGAGGAATCTGATGGGAAGAAATTCGCTCGTCTAATTTGCATATTGTGACGTCACTTCTACATACTTACAGCTACAGAAAGCATTCAAACATCAAAACGTTCAGCTCTGTAAGGATTTTCTGATGTTTGTGGCAATATGTTTGATATTTCTAAATAATTCACAATGACGACTTAAGCTGGAGGCCAAAACGGGCGCAAGTGCGAGGTCCCATCCAACGCTGTTTGCAGCTTTAATTTTTCTTTCTCCTTTCTCCCGCCGTCTGTTTGAACCAGAATTTGACCCCCTAAACATGCTCAAAAACTCACCAAAATTGGCGCGCATGTCAGGACTGGCGAAAAATTTGATAAATGAAAAAATTAACCCCTGAAGTGCCAATATGGGCTCTCTAGCGCCACCTAGACACACTAAAATGGCTGCTGCGGCCCGTGGGAATGTCGTAGAAAGATCAAAACTGGCTTGTTCGTCTCATCGAGACCTACAACTCATGTACTGACACCCCTGACCTAAATCCAACAGGAAGTGAGCTATTTGCCCTTTCAAAGTAAGATGTCGTTTTTCAAAAATGCTCTTCTTCAAAAAATATCTCCTCTTACATTGTTTATCGCACTGGCTTCAAACTCGCACACATGACAGCTCAACCCCTGCTGAACAAATATGCTGAATAACTTTGTCATTACTCGAACGGTTTGGATTTTATAAGCGCTCAAAAGTGACACGACACAAAACCTCATAACGATCTTTGAAGAAACAATGAGGGCCAACACATCTTTAACTTAAGACCAAGATTGCATTTTTGACTCCACAAACATTAAAACTATATGTCTGCATTCAGGACAAGTGTATCTCTCTGCTGGCATGATCAGATTGACGATTAGACCCACGGTTTGGGAATTAAAGGGAGGAGTTGGAGACATCTTAAAGCCATCTCAATCTGCCTTGTCTCTCCCTCAACTGCATGAAACTCATTAATTGCCATGACAACGCCTTCACTCTTTACAGTTGTTTTGCCTGATTGATAAACAACCCTCCACCCCTCAAAACATGCACGTGATGTTAGACTGAATAAAGTTTAACATAATGGCAATCTTAATCTGATTGTCAGGCACAGTCTCTGTCTCCCATTCCCCTTCTGTCACTCTGCTGCAGTGATTTTCCACTCTCCCTCCCTCTGCTTCACTCTCCTGATCACCCACTCCTGCTCTCACTCTCCTGCTCACCCACACCTGCAGCTCATCCCCAGCAATCAAGCCAGCATAAAAGCCTCATTCCCACACTCACCAGTTGCTAGATTGTTCTTCAGCATTATGCGAGACTTTCCAGTGTTCTTCACCTGCCTGATCACCCGTTGCCGACTCTGCCTGTCCCCGACCTGCTCTCCTCGCCTGCCTTCTGGTAAACTCACCTGACTTCCGTCTCTGACCACGTGTTCTGCCTCCGCAGACTGCTCACCTGGCTTCGACCCCCTCGACCCCCCTTCGACTACTCCTCTGCTCTCTCCTCATCTGCACCTCTGCACGATCGGCTGGTTCTTCAGGCTACGGACTCCTTGCTCTGTCATCAGCGGCTGAAGTAAGCTCCTTTCCTTCACGTCACGCTGTGAGAGAACTGAACTGTTCGGGTCCGGGGGCTCTGGTGCTTCCCCTCGGTTCTGTGGCCTCAGAGACTGTGTGAGGGCACTCCGCCCGAAGAGTGAACTGTGCACTGAATTGACTCATTCTGCTCCGCTCCCTGTTTGCTGTGGTGACAATAAAAGTCATTACCAACTGTTCCCGTTTTCTGTTGTACTGCTTTTGGGTCCAAACCATACCCGTTACAGTTTAATTAAAATTGTACATTTTAAAAGTTCCCTGTGCTTCCCCCCTCCTGTAAGCTAGAATTATGACAGAAGTAGAGAATTCTTTTCAGACTCTGAACTCCCCACACTGATCATCCATCAACACACAAACTCATCACACTATATAGCAATATGAAGCACAAAAGCAAACAGTAGGTTGTCCTGACCCAATGGAATTTGAGTCAATGAAGTTGGCCTTGTGCATCCACTCAGAAGAGATCTACTCACTCACAATAAGTGAAAACATCAGTAAGGGTGTACAGGGCCTCTGACTTGTATGCAATCTAACCAGTAAAACATAGCTTGTCTTCCTGTCTGTCTCCCTTGGCAGGACGTTGAGATACGAACCAATGCAGCCCTATACCTGCCCCAGATCAGCGAGCTGTTGAATCGTGTGCCCCGACAGATGCTATTGCTGCTTAAAACCAATGACCTGCTAAGGGGCATTGAGACCACCCTACAGACCAGAGCCTCCTCCTCATCTTTCATCAACATGTCCCGCTGCTGCATACGTGCCATGGCCAGGTCAGAAAGATTGGACGCATACTTTTGTACTCATGCATTTTTATGTAGTTGATATTATTCCCCTGTGCCAGTGACAGCTGTGGTTGGAGGCATTATGTTTTCCGGTTGTCCATCTGTCCATCTCTCCATCTGTCTGTTAGTCTGTACATCTGTCTGTCTCATTCTAGTGAACATGATATCTTCAGAATGCCCTGGGGAAATTTCTCCAAATTTTGCACAAACATCCACTTTGACTCAACAATAAAGTGATTGGATTTCGGTGGTCATAGGTCAATGGTCAAGGTCACTGTGACCTCGTCTTTCTCAATCTTGTGAAATAGACATCTCAACACCAGGAGGGAATTTTTTCAACTTTGACACAAACGCTCACTTGGACTACACAATGAACTGAATAGATTCTAGTGGTCAAAGGTCGAGGTCACTGGGACCTTGCATCCGTCTCATTCCCATGAAAGCAATATCTCAAGAACACAATGGGGGTATTTTGTCAAATTTAGCACAAATACTCACTTGAACACATCAGTGAACTGAATAGATGTCATTGGTCAAAGGTACCGTGACCTTGCATCTTTCTAATTCTCATGAACCTGATATCTCAAGGAGACCTTGAGGGAATTTGTTCAAATTTGGCAAAAATGTTCACTTGGACTCAAAAATGAACTGATGAGATTTTGGTGGTCATCAGACAAGGTCAGTGTGACCTGGCATCCATCTCATTCTGGTGAAAGCGATAGCTTAAGAACACCTTGAGGTCATTTCTTCAGATTTTTTACAAAGGTTTACTTGGACTCAATGATGAACTGAGCAGATTTTGGTAGTCAAAGCCATGGTCACTGGGAATTTGTGTCTGTCTCATTCCTCTGACCGCAATATATCAAAAAGGTATGTATTTCACACAAATGTCTTACAGGCTATAATGATTAAGTAATTACATTTTATATCCAAAAGGTCAAAGGTCATCTTTACATAATGTTTTGCAAAGACACTTTTCTGGCCATTATTTAACATCGTAACTCAGAAAGAGGAAGGGAGACATTTGGTCAGATACTGAATTGGTGACTCTAATCTTGGGTGTCCACCTTGAAACTGTACTGATTGTATAGATCTTCTGTGCTTGATATGTGTGAAGCATCTATGTTTTCACAGATATCGATGGAAACTGGAAGTGCAGCTTGACTGGCTCATGGAGGCTTACAACTGCAAAACAGTAATTCTAGTTAGGGGTCCAAACCCACGGGGCCTGGGGAACGCGTATGCAAGCAGACACGTTTCCCAGGACCAGCAGTGCTGGGAACCCTATTGTTTTTGTTCTGATTTTTATTATTATTATTATTATTATTATTATTAGGGGTCCAAGCCTGCGGGGCCTGGGGAACGCGTATGCAAGCAGACGACCAGCGGTCCTGGGAAAGCTATTGTTTTTGTTCAAATTTTTATTATTATACATCTTATTATTTTTCCGTAAGTAAAAGTGGTGCTGCAGGCTACACCGTCTAAGGGAGGGCGGTGCAATTTAGAGGGTTGGTCCAGACCCCTGCAGGGACCTAAGACGCAAGAAATAACACATGTGCACCTGTAGGGGGAGCTACAATCAAGGCCAATGCGTTTTGGCATGTATCTCCCACACCGTATGTCGCACATTCAAAAGTCTCACATCCATGGATTCCCTGAATGGAGCTGCATCACGTGACCATGGCCATGCCCACTTCCACCTAACTTTTTTCCTGCCAAAAATTGCAAAAACTGCAAAACCTACTTTTTCAAACTTCTAGAGATTTTAACCGAACTTCATGAAACTTGGCACCTAGACTCAGAAGATGGACCTGATCTAAAGTTATCAAAAGAATTCTTCCCGGTCAAAAAATGTGCAAATTATTAATGAACAAATTTTTGTAGCTAGCTATAAAAACGCAATCTGTTCCGTATCTTTGTCAAATTAAAAGCTATCAAAACCAAAGCAGAGATCTCAGGTTAGTATGTGACTGTGAGGGTGTGATCCGAAGTTGGTGGACATTGTCTACTATGGGGCGCTATAAACATGGGAAGTTTATACCACGGCTACACTTACTTTTATGAAATTTGGTGGGTATGATGTAGGGCCATTCCTGAGGCCATATATTGAAGGTGGTCATGACTGGCTGAAGTGGGCATGGCTTATTACAAGATAAAAAACAAACTTTTATATCAGCTGAACTATTGTACTGCTGTGAAATTTATAGAGTACATGTAGAGTAGGACACAGACCTATCACATCAAAAATTGCGAGATACTCCACTAGGTGGCACTATAACAGATGCAAACGCGTTTTTTCTACTGCTCCCCTCGCTGGAAGCCTCGGACCTCCTGCTGCCAGCCTCCGCCTTGATTAAATGCTGAAAATTAAATAAAAGAGGGAGACAGGTTTTTCCTATTTTATCTTATTTTGTTATAATTCTCCCTCTCCCCTCGCTGGAAGCCTCGGACGTCCCGCCACCTGCTCCCATCTCAAACACGGAGGTCTCCCTCTCCGCTGAGCACCCACGGCGCACGCCCGGCCTGTTAAATAGCCTGTAACCATAACAACTGTGTGACACAAACTCAGTGCTTTAGTCATTAAATAATGTCGGGCTCGGTCGGTTTCAGAAAGAAGTATGCGGCCCGTCCCGCACTCTAATGGAAATGCACGTGACTTTTTCTTTTTTACAATCTCCAAATGTGATGGAACTGGTTCCGGAACCGAAACTTTGGACCCAGTTCCAAAAAAGAACCACATCCGGATCCCAACCCTATACACATCCAAAACCTACTTTTTCAAACTCCTCCTACAGATTTTGTCCAAACTGCATGAAACTTGGCAGGTCAACTCTCAAGATGGACCTGATCTAAAGTTATCAAAACAATTTTGCTCGGTCAAAAAATGTGCGAATTATTAATGACAAAAAAATTTTGCTTGCTAAAATACACATATTGTTGCATATTTTTGTCAGACTAAATTCTATCAACATGACACTTAACACACGGGGAATACTGCAGCTCACACATTGGCCTGTGTCCTGATGCTCACCCCGCGCCCGTCGTCCTTTGGGGCCGACTATCGTGGGCTCCATGGGGCGTGGAGACCAAGTTTCCCGGGTAGGCTTGGACCCCATTCATAACTGCTTGCAGTTCTAGTTAGTCAGTTCTAGTTAGTCAGTTCTAGTGCTGGGAAACCTATTGTTTGTTGCGCTGTTTATTATTTACTTTCATGACTTTCATGACGATCAAGTTGATGAATCTCCACAGTGACACATGTGTCCTGTCATGTTGCAGGCTGCTGCGGCGGCGACTTTTCATCCTTCGCCACGGAACATCAACTTGGTATAAATCCTTCATGCATTGTCCAATTTGCTCGAAATTTCACATCTGTGATGAGGGTCCACCCCTGAACGCACCTGGCCACATCTGGTTATGCTAGTAGTGCCACCTGGTGCATGAACAAAACATTGCTTTTTTTCGCTCCTGCCAGGTTTTTTCTCCCTTCTCGCTTCACGCCACAGCCCCCACGTGCCTCAGGGCCCCCGCGGTTGCATGGGCGAGCAAGGGCCCGATCACAGCTGCTTGCAGCTTTAATTAAGGCCCGAGTGACGACAAAGTCGTCCGCGGAGGACCCTATTGAAATCCCACTGTTTATTGGGGCCCGAGTGACGACGAAGTCGTCCGAGGACCCTATTGAAATCCCGCTGTTTATTAGGGCCCGAGTGACGACGAAGTCGTCCGCGGAGGACCCTATTGAAATCGCACTGTTTATTATTAGGGCCCGAGCGACGACAAAGTTGTCTGAGGACCATATTGAAATCGGGCTGTTTATTATTATTATTATTATTAGGGCCCGAGTGACGACAAAGTCGTCCGCGGAGGACCCTATTGAAATCGCGCTGTTTATTATTATTATTATTAGGGCCCAAGTGACGACAAAGTTGTCCACGGAGGACCCTATTGAAATTGTGCAGTTTATTATTATTATTATTCTGACATTTCGTGTCCCAATTTCGCCCCTTCCCCAAATTTCAAAATGCTTCTAACTTTCCACATTCATTCGGCCACATCAGAAATTCGATATTTTGGGTGGTTGCACATGGTCGATGCAAAATGCCGAAATAACGCCCCCTACAAATTTTCAAAATACCCTCCCCATTGGGGTTTATTTGTTGTAGGCAAACGAAATTTGGTACGCACATGTATCATACTGAGACGCACAATAAAGTCTCTTGACGTCATGATAAAATCCCAACAGGAAGTCGGCCATTTTGTTTAGAATTTTTTCGTTACAGCCATTTCCACAACTTAAATTTGAACGAACTCCTCCTAGGGATTTCGTCTGATCGACTTCAAATTGGCTACAGATCATCCTGAGAACAAGCTGATCAAAAGTTATTTAAGGCTTTTCTCTATGTCAAGGGCCGTGGCCGCTAGGGCGTGACAAATTTTGGCGACTTTTTATTTTCTCACTATCGAATTTCGAACGGCTCTCCTGCCCACATACTTGATCTAAGCAGCTTCAACCTTGCTGGACATGATATCGGCTCTGCCCCGAACGCCCCGATATGTTAATATCCCACCTTACTCATAGCGCCCCCCGGTGGTAACAGGAAGTGAACAGGAACAGTTTTTACTTTAACATGTACTGATGCCACAAACTTGACCGCATCAACTTCATTCCACTTCTAATGCATGCAGAACAAGTTGGTGAAGCTACCTTATGAACGCTGTGAAGCTACGTCTAATGGTGTCCATGTGGCGGCGTGGCGACTATCGATCCCTCGCCACTAAATATGTTTGGCTTTTTGATGGCTTCATCGACCTCATCTCCTCATGAAAATTGATACAGAGGTCAAGAATGGTGAGCTCTTAAATCTGATAGGGACGTCACCCATGGGGGGGACAAAATGTCTCTATAGCGCCCCCTTGAAATTTTCAAAAACCCCTCCCCATAGGGTTTTTTTTGGAGTGGGAACATGAAAATTGCTACACATGTGTATGTT